TCAGACTACGGCATCCATGGGAGAATTAGACTGAGGTTTGGTCTGAAAGTCTCAATTTCGAGGAGCAAGTTTTTACTCTGCATTTTAAAACACTGGGTTAAAAAAAAAAAATCCAGGACTCAATCAGTAGCCAGATGGTATTCTGACGAAGAACACACAGGTTCCTCAGACCTGGGCAGAATCCAGGCTCTGCTATTCACTGGCTGTGTGTCATTGGCAAGTTATTAAACTTCTCAGAGCCTCAGTTTCATTATCCAGGCAATGGGGATAACAGTATCTGTCACACAGATTTATTGTGAGAATTAAATATGTAATCACAGTGCCTGGCACATGCTAAGCATGCAATAAGTGGTAGTTATTTCTTTCAGAAAAGAAGGAAGGCTTGGGTTGGGTGGGGGCCTCCTAACTCTTCCAGGTCACTTTCTAGAATTCTCGATAGAGGAAGAAGGCTGGAGTTTGAGTCCTGGCTCTCCTGGGACCTCTCCACTCCTCAGTTTCTTCGTCTGTATAAAATGTGAAAAATGATAACCTCTGAACTGTTGAATGAACTACCCATCTCATAGTTATTTTCACAAGATATAGTTTATTTGAGGAAACTTTCTAGAAATTTCTAGAAACTTAATCGCGGTATGAAAACCCAAGTTATTATGACTATAGTGTTTTCAATAAAACTCCGATGGTCTAGAAAGGTATGCTTTTTAGCTCCAAGGAAGTGTTGGCCATTCTGACATCATTCACAATAGTGGCCTCACTTTAAAACTGGAGCAGGGCCAGGCACGGTGGCTTACGCCTGTAATCCCAGCACTTTTGGGAGGCCGAGGTGGGCAGATCACCTGAGGTCAGGAGTTCGAGACCAGCCTGGCCAACATGGTGAAACCCTGTCTTTACTAAAAGCACAAAAATTAGCCGGGTGTGGTGGTGGGCATCTGTAATCCCAGCTACTCAGGAGGCTGAAGCAGGAGAATCGCTTAAACCTGGGAGGCGGAGGTCACAGTGAGCCGAGACCACGCCATTGCACTCCAGCCTGGGCAACAAGAGCGAAACTCTGTCTCAAAAACAAACAAACAAACAAACAAACAAACTAGAGAAAGCGGAAGCACCAGCCCTCTCTTCAGACTGCTCAGTTATGGCACCCAGCAGGCCACCTACTTTTCCCTGGATCACTACATGTAATGCTGCAGCCTGTCCCCAGGACATGTAACCTGTTTGCACTTGTGCAGTGGCACAGACTCCTGCAACACTCGGGACAGGTGACAGGGGAGCTCCCTGGCAATGTTCCTGTAGGACTCAGGGGCCTGGGAAAGAAGGAAATCAGGGTTCCATTTGCGATGATCAGCTGGGCAACAGGAAAGCTGGCTGCCACATGTGCTGGGTCACCTTGATGACTTGAAGTTGTTTGACACAACGGTTACACATCACCCAGGCCTCAGGGGCTCAGAGAACAGACCACTCATACCACAAAGAAGAAGGAAAACCACCGCCATGGTGCTAATAGAATGAAACCCACCTACCAAATGAATGGATGGACAAGCACACAAAAGAGAGAGCTCAGAGCCAGGAGATGGGAGCAGGAACCTAAACTGAGTTTAGTAAAAAGGACAAACAGAAATAAGCTAAACCTTCCTACCCTTCGGCCCTCCAAACATGCCTACCCTTCCATCTGAACACATAACGTCTGTCATCCATGCACAAAAAAGTACATGGCACGTACCGGCATGGGGAGAGGAGGGAGATTACACAGACGTTGTCTGGAGAAAGTGGTGCCTTCCCTGGCGTCACAATGGACTAAGGTGAGCAACAAACTTCCAGATCAATAGCTTTGGCATCTGGGTTTCCCAGGAGAAAGAAGGCCTTCGAGCACCCCCAGAGTACAGCAGATAGAGCCACTCACCTGAATGTGAAGAGGGTCCCCATGTCCAGCATTGACAGCAACTCCGCCTTCGACTTGGGGAAGGAGAGCCGGTAGCGCAGCGTCTCGAATGCGGGGACGATCATTGCTTTCTTGGTGTTGGCAAGGTCGAGCTGGATGACAGACTTCCTGAAAAGAGGGGACAGGCAGAGAGACAGAGTCCCTGTGACACCAGGCCAAGGTCTTTTCCCCATGAGGGTGGGGAGGTCACTGGCCCAGGGAAGTGTGGGAGAGAAAGCTCAAGTCAGCCTCTCAATTAAAGATGGGGAAACTGGGCCAGGTGCGATGGCTCACGTCTGTAATCCCAGCCTTTGAGAGGCTGAGGCAGGCAGATCACTTGAGTTCAGGAGTTTGAGATCAGCCTGGTCAACATGGTGAAATCCTGTCTCCACTAAAAATACAAAGAAATTGGAGGGGCGTGGTGGCGCACACCTGTAGTCCCAGCTACTTGGGAGGCTGAGGCACGACAATTGCTGGAGCCCAGGAGGCAGAGGTTGCAATGAGCTGAGATCACGCCGCTGCACTCCAGCCTGGGTGACAGAGATAGATTCTGTCAAAAAAAACAACAACAACAACAACAAAAAACAGGCAAAGAAAGGAAAGAAAGGGAAGAAAGGAAAGAAAAAAAAAAGGAAAGAAAAGAAACAGAAAAGGAGGAAAAGAAAGAAAAAGAAAGAAAGGAAAGAAGAAAAGAAAAGAAAAGAGAAAAGAAAGACAGGGAGCCCTGGGAGGCAAGGCAGCTTGCCAAACACTTGGGGAATCCAGAGTAGAATGAGATCTGCTGTCCCCGAGACAGAGAGCTTGGTCTTCCTGGAGAATAAACAGAGGGCAGATCAGACTGAGGGGCCGGGAGAACCTCCCACACATTTTCAGTGTGTGCTCCTGCCAGAGTCAGGCACAGAAGGAGGGCTTCAAAGGACCACAGGGGTTACAGCCCAGTCTGCTTGGCTCCCTGGGCTGGTCAATCACTCCGACTGTAGCCCTGGCCACACCAGAGCAGGTGGACAGAGAGCCGATGAGAGAATCACCCAACTGGGTACTTTCAGGTTCCATTTCAGTGACTCCTCAACTCCTTGAATTTTCCAGACTCCAAGCCTTTAAAGTAGCCAGAGCCACCCTAGGCAGCCAGCGCTGGGAAGACAGCTCTGGTATCCCCCTTGGGGGAAGGTTCTGCAAAGTCTTGCCTTAGTGCCTGGCCTTCGACTCTGCTCCTCTGAGCCCCGATCCTGCACGCCTGGGTTTGTCTGCCTTTTCCCTGCTCTGTGGCTGACACTTGGAAAGGGAGAAAGGCTCATGGTGGGCCATAAATGGCCAAGCATCTACTGCCATATGGCATGAGGATTTTTTTTGTTTTTTGAGACAGAGTCTTGCTCTGTCACCCAGGCTGAAGTACAGTGGCGTGATCTCAGCTCACTGCAACCTCCGCCTCCCAGATTCAAGTGATTCTCCTGCCTCAGCCTCCTGAGTAACTGGGACTGCAGGTGCATGCCACCACATCCATCTAATTTTTGTATTTTTAGTAGAGGTGGGTTTCACCATGTTGGCCAGGCTGGTCTTGATCTCTTGACCTCGTGATCCGCCCGCCTCGGCCTCCCAAAGTGCTGGGATTACAGGTGTGAGCCACCGCGCCTGGCCAGCATGAGGTTTTTAATAAACACAGACTGGATTTGAACCCCGGGAAGGTGACTTTATGGGTCCTGCCATCCTGGGAAAGAGATTTAGCTCCTCACTACCTTTGGTCCCTCATCCCTAAAATGATGGCAATAACATCTACCTCCTGGAGACTGAACAAAGTCATATACTGCCACTTGGCACATGTGGCCAGGGGCAGGCATGCTGTGACAAGTGGTCACTATTCTACTGCAGTGCTATCATGACTCTCTGACTTGGATCTTCTGTGATCTCTTTCGGCCAGGACCTAGGAATTCATTCTGGCCTCCTGCTTGGACACTGACCTTTGGGTCTCAAGGTCATCATGGCTGCCGGTTTCTATCTCTAACATAGAGAAAGCAGACTTTCCTGGGGAAGAGGTAGGCATTGTAAGGCATTTTGAAAAACCACTGAAAGTAGCAGCCCTCCGTGGCCATAAAACTGTCCATTGAAGGCTGGGCACACTGGCTCACGCCTGTCATCCCAGCCCTTTGGGAGGCTGAGGTAGGTGGATCACAAAGTCAGGAGTTCGAGACCAGCCTGGCCAATATGGTGAAACCCTGTCTCTACTAAAAATACAAAAATTAGCCGGGTGAGGTGGGGGTGCTGGTAGTCCCAGCTACTCGGGAGGCTGAGGCAAGAGAATCACTTGAACCTGGGAGGCGGAGGTTGCAGTGAGCCGAGATCGCGCCACTGCACTCCACCCTGGGCGACAGAACAAGACTCCGTCTCAAAAAAACAAAAAACAAACAAACAAACAAAAACCAAAAATCAAAAAACCATCCTCCACTGCTACATTATTAACGTCACTTCACTCAAACAGACTTGGAGCGTGTGCATTAGCAGGGACTAGAGCTGGCATGCAAAGAGGAATCACACCGTAAGGAAGTGACTAAGTCAGCCCAGGCCTGAATGGGACAAAACAGGGTGGCAGTCCCAGAAGGACACAGGACATCAGCAGGGCTTCGTATCACTGAATGATGAGGGGCAATCTGGATCAGGTCAGAATAAGGACAGTTTCCTAAAACCATCCTTGGTTAACGGATCTCACCAGCTCCCAGTAAAGAGGGGGTGGTTGGGATGGGCTGGAAGTTCATTTTGGAACCCTCTGAATATCATTTGCAGTTCACTCTTTACCACAGTGCTCACGTTAACTACATACCAAATAATACATAGCTCTCTCACCACTATTCCAGAGGAGGTTCCTAAAGGACGACAGTAAGATATAGCGTGTGGCGAGCTCTGCTCAGCCAGTCTGAGGGCTAGAGGTTTGAGTCAGCCTGTCCTGGCCTGGATTCTTTTCCCACTTTGTCTGAACAATGTTAGTTTTCAAACATCCAAGATTCCCTCCTCTACGGCCAGGCGTCTAGTGTCAGCTAGCACTCTCTTTTGTATCAAACCTGGATTAGATATGGGCAGAGCTAGGCTCTTTACCATTCCCCCTGGAAAGGTGGGTACCTTATCCATTGATTCTGGGTATTGGGGGTGGGATATATGGGTCTAAAGAATATCCTTGGACCAAGACAGCAAAGCCCTTGGAATCCCTGGGGCAGGGGGGAAGGTGTCCCTGTACTGCTGGGTGGTTGCTACCCATTCAACTATCACCCAGCACCTATGATGTGCCAGGCACGTGAAGATACAGGGTGAAAAGAACAAGCAAAGTCTCTGCCCGCATGGTGCTTACATTCACATAAACATCTCAGGATGCTACAAGCCTAGGGACAAATCTTTGTAAACTGGGGCCCTAGACTGTATTTGTAGCTGATTATTTTATAATACAATGCTATAGAAACAGAATAGAAGGCTGCGAGGGCAGAACTATAAAGGGAGTGGGCAAAACATAAAGACACATACACGTATATATGCGATGGATACAGAGCTCTACAAACATGGATGTTTGTATCTATATAAGGCTCAAGTTACTATTATCATCAGTTGCTATAGGAGCTGCTTCTTGGAGATTAATTCCTGCTAGAAAATAATTCTGCTTTCTATGGGAGCAACCTGCCCCCTATACATAGAAGCAAGCTCTCAGAGTTCTCTGCCTGTCCTATCTGCACCACTGGCAAGGGCAGGTTTTTTAGGATTAGACACTTGACCCAGGCTGAGCACATCAGTTTCTTACTCTTGGAAATTTGAATAGAAATAGAGACTGGGAAAGCACTGACTTTCAGTGATGACAGATCATGCTCTGAAGACTTCTGAACTGCTGCAGAGGGGCCCAGAGCTGCCCCGGTTAATTGTAGTCTTATGTGTTGGTTTTCCAAGTCCTAGTTTGATTTCATAAGATAACCCATCCATTATTTGCTTTGTTTTTCTTTGATTTGTTTTTATTTTACTTAAGCTACCTGGTATTGGTTTCTGTTGCTTGCAACTAAACAGCCCTAACCAATATACCGGAAGACCCAAAGCAGACAGACCCAGTAAGCAGCATGCCTCACAAATGCAGTCCTAGCAGGCCTTATTTCCCTCTGCATAGATAGCACCAGATTCTGGAGCGCTTTCTGCAACCTCCCTTTAATCTCACTAAAATACAAACTGCCACAAAGACGGATCTGTCACCAGAGAGCTCCATTTCAGACTCACTTCAAGGAGGTTTCAATACTGATGTCCTGAAAGGGTCTCATTATGAAGTTGTTTCAGCAATAAAGAGGCTTCATGGTACGAACTCTGAGCACCTCTGTGTTTTGAGAAGGTGACGGCAGCCTGGGTCTTTCTGCTCTGTGCTGTTAGCACATCTTACCCCGGAGGGGGCTTGCTGTCCTAGGGGTCAACGATGTGCAGCCATCAGTTCTCTGGAAAGTGAGTCCTGCAGAGGATGACGTGCAGTCTTCCAGGAACAGTGAGGCAGGACGATGAGCGAGAAAGCTGGGCGAAGAGCCAGGAGACCTGAATTCTAGGTCCACCCTGAGAAGCTGAGGGACTTTGGGTCGCTCCATTACTCTTTAGATCGCTAAATTTAGATTATTAAGATGGGAGCTTTGGAAGACAGTGAGGTGTAGTGGTAACGGACCAGGCATCTAGCTCTGACTCTACTTGGCTGTCTTCCTGGGCAAATCGCTTTCACTATTTTGAGTCCTGGGGTTGATGCACTTGTAAAATATGTTGATGAGGATAAACACAGTGCTTGTGGAAGGGCTTGCTACAACGCCTGGCACACATTAAGCCCGGGGTACATGATGCCTATGATGGTTCCTTTTCTGTATCAGATGGCCCAGGCTACGGTGCCCAGTTACTTGGTCACGTACTAGTTTAGACACCGCTGTGCAAGTGTTTCATAGATGCATTAAACTGCAATTACGTTTGCACCAACCTAATAATTAACATGTACAATCAGTTAACTTTAAGGAAAGGAGATTTCCCTCGATAATGTAGGAAGGCCACACCTAATCAGTTGAAGGCCTTAAGAACAAAAACTGGGCCAGGCCAGGCGCAGTGGCTCACGACTGTAGCACTTTTGGAGGCTGAGGCCGGTGAAT